GGGGGGGGTTTACAATAACTTCTGTACTTTTGACGTGCCTGATTCGACTCCATACTATGATGAGACAGAGCTTTGACGGATGAAGTCGAAGCTCCTCCAACCCTGGGAGACTGACGAGGGAGTGCTCGCCCCCATTCCATTGTCCAGATCGGCTGATCCGGGAAAAGGGAGAATCGATCAGCTCCTCTTCTTAGGTTTGGTGCCACCTTTCAATTGTGGGCCCCATCCTAATTATCTAGGTCATATATATTTGCTTCCTGTGTTTTATTTTCTTAGTTTTGTTCATGTGTTTATGTCGGGACAGCCATCGACATCTCCTGTGTTCTCTTCTATGAGTGTATCCAAGGAGAGTTGTCTGGGGATCCCTAAAGTGAAGAGAAGAGGCGATAACAACGAAGGGAGGGTTACAGAGGATGGAAAAGTTGAGGATAGTCACCACCTCATAACGAGATAAAGCAACTCCTCTAACTTCAACGTGTCAGATCCGACTTCATATTATGAGGAAACAGAACCTTCGACTGATGAAATTGAAGCTCTCCTAACCCTGAGAGACTAATGAGGCAGTCCCCACTCGTGTTTCAGCAACTGGATTGACTGGTCTAGGCAAGGGGAGAACTGATCAGCTCCTCTTCTTAGGTTTAGCACCTTCTTTCAATAGTGTGCCCCTATCTTAATTATCTAGGGCATATATATTTGCTTCCTGTGTTTTAGTTTTTCAGTTTTGTTCGTGTTTTTATGTCGGGATAGCCTTCAACATCTCCTATGTTCTCTTCTAGCGATGTATCCAAGGAGAGGTGTCTGAGGATCCCTAAAGTGAAGAGAAGAGGTGACAACAATGAAGGGAGGGTTACGGAGGATGGAAAAGTTGAGGATAGTCACTACCTCGGAACGAGATACAGCAGCTCCACTAACTTCAACGTGCCTGATCTGAATTCATACTATTAGGAGACAGAACCTTCGACAAATGAAATCAAAGTTCTCCTAACCTTGAGAGACTAATGAGGCAATCCCCACCCACGATCCAGTGACTGAACTGACTGGTCTAGGCAAGGGGAAAGCCGATCAAATCTTCATTGGTTTGGAGTCTTCTTCCAATAGTAGGCCTAATCTTAATTATTTAGGGCATATATATTTGATTTTTTTGTTTTCTGTTTTTAGTTTTGTTTGTGTGTTTCTATCGGGACAGTCGTCGACGTCTCCTGTGTTCTCTTCTAGGGTTATATCCAAGGGAGAGAGTGCTTCGGCAGTTTCTCGTTTCAAGGTGGTGAGTCGTCGCCTCTTCTCAAACCCCCAGACAGTTCTCCTTGTTGTCCTCTGCAATTGCACTGCTTCCGTCCCTTCCACAGTCCCTTTCTCTGCCCATTGTTGTTCTCCCTCACTTTTAGCCAAGCCTACTTCTACTGTCCTTTCCCCTGTAGCACTGTCGACTTCCAACTGTCCTCCCCTTCCTTCCCTGTTGTAACCTAGTTGCCTGCCTTTCTCCCTTTCCCTCGACAATCCATCCAACCAACCACCAGCTTGTTGTCGTTCGACCATCTAGCCCATCATACCCATTACTCCTCCTTAAACCGCAGCACCATGGCCCTTGATATAAGCCCTAGTTCGAGTTGGTGATGTGTCCTTGTGTGCTTTCTTACTTCCAAGTGTGTTGGTTGAACTTCTATTTGATTTCAATAATAATATTTGCATTTTCTGTGCTTGTTTGGTTAACTCTAGCAATAAAAATTACATTTCCCATTGGAGTTTGCATAATGATTAACTTTTCAATAAAAATGAGACATCGGCATCTTTTGGTGTCAGTTTTTTTTTCCTTGCATCTCCTATATTATAAGTTCATTGACTTCGATTTTGAACTTTGACGTTATGTGTTAATTATGTACTTATTTGAGAATTGGGTTAATTTTCTTCCTCATGCTATAAAATATTAAAATTTGCTCACTTAGCTATGATTTATTATTTCCAATGCTGTTGATAGAGTAAATGACATCTTTCTGCATTTTTCAGGATTGTATGACACCGTTTTTGATGTTGATGATGATAAAGAGAGGGCTCAATCATTAGGTCTTGAACCAAATGGATTTAGCTTTGACGGTACAGATTCCAGTGGGGTTGATTACGCTCTCAATAGGTAATTAACTAGAATTGATTTTGCCAACTTTCCAATCTAATATTGCAGTATAAACTCTTGGCCCCCTCTTTAAGAATTTTCTAAACAGAAGAATCTCTTTATAGTTATTACCATCCAATAGACTATTACCATACTTCCCCTTGAAATATCTGTTGACAAGTAAGTACGGTTCCTGGAGGAAAGCCCACGCCAATCAGCCCCTGAGTGGGCCCCTCCATTTTTCTGCAGAATGAAATCCAAGCCCACCAGAGTAGATCGGTTGACAGTTTTTCCCAGCTCACATAATGCAAAGCCCTCCTTTTGGGTCCTTTACCCCAAAGAGACGTCCTGCACTGCTTCTCAATTTCATTAAGCACACCTGCCAGAACATTAGAGTATGTAGTTAGATACATAGGAAGTGCCGAAGACGAATTAATTAATGAGAGTTGCACGGCCTGTCAATGAAAGGCGACGTAATCCCCACATATTGATTCTGGAAGTGGCACGACATATCAGTACCATTGGGTTATTATAAAACCTAACTAATCAAACACTATTTTTTACATGTGAAGCAGTAATTTCAAAGCAGAAGATGCTAACTCTGACTTTAAGCTGGTTGAACATGGCTAAAATGGATTGCTGGACCCGCAACAGACTCCGAAGGTAAAAAGAAAGTCATGCATGTGACATGCATTATTCTAAGAGCACAATTCAAAGAGAGCACTGAATGAGCTCAGGGATTAAAGCTATGCAGAACATCTTCTAATAGACTTTTAGGATGGATAGACTTTTTGGTGAAATGTGGAGGCATTATTGAATTGAATCCCACATTGGAAGGAGAGGAATGGTTATTGAGTTATATAAGACTTGGACCAAATGTGTGCACGTTTTTTGTTTTAACAGGAGTTTCAATAGATTTCTATTTTTAGGCGTGCTTGTGTTCATAGGATGAGTGATCTCTCGCGAAGTTATATTAAGAAGGGTAAATCCTTAAGTTTTATACTTAATTAAGACTTAATTGTGTTCGTTGTCTTCCTCGCGCATGTGAAGTCTGCAAGAAAGCGAAATTGACTTTCCGTTGTTACCAACAGAACATGCCATTAGTCTTAGTGAGAATTATGTCTAGCACTTTGTTCTAATCTCACCCTTATCTTGGAGAACATTTTGATACACATACGTATCACCCTGTGAGGATCGGTGCCATTCAGACACATTTATTTGGAGGCATACATTTTTTGTGTTTGGGGAGAGATTTTTGTTCTCCTTGAAAACTTTGATCTCATTCAATTAGAAGTCAAAAATTTTTTCTTAATAGCTAATGAGGCTACCTTATGATTTTGAGCTTGAAGTTATCTTGGAGAACATTTTGATTTTAAAACTTCTTTAATATCTTCCAATGTTAGAGTTTTTATTTCAAGTCTCTTGTTGAAGCTTCAAATTTTTGCATACTGTATGGTTTATATAGTGATATATGGGAATGTTTAATTGCAAATACAAAGTATATAATAAAGTATTTTTAAATTATAATGTATTTCTAGGGCATTTTTAAATTTCTCAAGATTGTTAATTTTTTCATCTACATGATCGGCAAACCCAACAATTTTCTAAGTTCCATAAATGATGCAAGCTTTACTTCATTTGATCTCCTTTCATCAAAAGTAGAAAGATAATTCATGATAGGTAAGGGGACTATCTTATGGTTACGTGATTTCTGTCATCTTTGGTAGTGTTTTGATTTTAAAATTTATTTCATCTTTACCCGAGTACAAGTTTTTCTCCTAAGCCTCTATTCTATTTTCAACAAGTCATTCCAATATATTTTAGCCTTTCTTGCCCATTTTAATTTGCGAAGTTAATTCTTTGTTGGTTAACCGCATTTTGCTAATCAAACAAATTATTTAATTGTCTGAGCTATTCTTAAATTAGTTAATGTTGTGAACCATAAAATGTAGAAATTAAAACTTTTTTGCATGGTATAAGGGTTGTTTAGTCATGTATATGGATACATGACTAATTAAAGTTCTTTGACATATGAAAATTCAAATTATGAAAAGATGAAATGAAAAAAATGATGATTTGAACAATGCTTGGCTAAAAAAAGTCTTAGGTGAGGAGGGCGTCACAATTCCCCACTCAAGTCCTGAACTATTATTTTCACAAGTAAAAACATGCATGCATAAAATTAAGTAATCAATATAAATATTAAGAATGTAACCTCAATTTTCATATTCTTAAAATATATCCAATAGGTTAGCTGGAACATATATCAATGTCTATATCAATAGATGGATGGATGGATGGATGGATGGATGGTGGATGGATATTTGATCACACTCTTCTATTGTATAAAACAGTCATGTATCAAGGGAATGTGTTGGTTTTAGTGCAGGGTTAATTGGATTTTACTTGTAAATTAATCTTATAAATGCGAACACAATATGTTAATATCCTAGATTTCCTGAGTAAAAATTCCTACCAATATAGAATTATGTAATAATAAAGAAAAAATAAATATTATCACTTGAAATCTCGGTGCTTCATTGAAATGTCCAGTTTTTTTTTTCTCATTTAAGAAAAAGGCACTGGTTTTTAATCTTTTTGTCTTTAAAACTAAATGATAGGGAGGTTTTGAGGAAGTTTAAGGGTTGTTGGAGAGGAAGTTGACAGCTTTAAGCAATTTTCATTGATTCATAGTATATAAGTGTTGTTGAAAAAAGGAGAAACTCAATATGAAAATACACTAAAATTCTCTTTTGAAATTTCATCCATATGCGATAATGGCAGCCCTTAAGATCACTTCCTATCTGAAAACAAATAGCATCACTCCAAATTAAAGAGCTTAATTAAATATTTGATTACTTTTCTTGAGCTCTTAACTTGTATTTGATTGAAATGATTCTGCAGTATGTTTTATATTCAAAATTCTCGCCAAAACTTACAATGTTCATCCCATCTGAAATTAACCATGGTTGGTTGAAAAAAAATTAAAGCTGTAAAGTTATGATTTTTAATGAGCAGTGAAATGTGGTTTTTTGTATTTGTTTTGTGAACTTTCAGAGCATTATCTGCTTGGTATCATAGGCGTGAATGGTTTGAACTCCTTTGCAAGCGAGTAATGGAGCAAGACTGGTCCTGGAATCGCCCAGCTTTGGATTATATAGAACTATACTATGCAGCTCGCAAATGAGATTTTCTTCAATATATTGCTAGAAGAAAAAAGCCATCCACATTTTATTAGGCTCATATTTATGTACAGGTTTCATTCTACTCTCTTTAATACTATGATTTAGCTTTGGTACGACACGTTACTGTTCGTTTATTTTATTTTATTTGGTAGAATACGTTATTTTGACTATACTTAATATAAAATGGTTATCCATGCAAGTTGTCATTGAATAATTTAAACTCAAATATTTATGAATAATAAGAAGTTTAATACAAAATGAGAGATTTTATAAATAAGGGTTCTAAAAGTGATGTTCATTGTCAAATATTTGATGTCATGCTAGTTATGTTTGTAAATGTTTATGTTAAATTAAGTTGTTATACCATTCATTCATTTAATTAATTAGTATAAAATATTTCATTCATTGGTCATCATAAGTTAGTGGACTGCATCACAACTTGGCCAGATTAATCGGTGCACACAAGAGCACATATCATCAAGTAATAAAATGATGAATTGAAGGTTATTCTCACTAGAATCAACATCTAAATCCAAGTTAAATACTAATTTAGATTATGTTAATTTTGTACTCAGTAATTTAATAATATAATTGTATGCATTTTATTCAATTAAGGTGGGGGACACTGAAGAAATACAAGTTTTTCATATTAAACATAAGCTATTTTAGATGAACTAAATGGAATACACTACCTCCCAAACAGTTCAACAATCCTTGGTGGCCTACTCCAAAACTACCTCCAAAATGATCTATTGTGATTGTCATACTACAACATCTATCTTCTGGCGTTGTGACTCGTTTGATAGAACTATGACATATACTGTAGCACTACAACTCCATGTTGATGGGTTAGTGACCTAAAAATTCCTCTTTTACCTGGCATTGTGGCATTGTGTTTTACGGTGCTCAATTTAGCATTGCGGTGCCCTATTCTTGGGTTGGGTTGTGCCATTATCTGCCTAATGGAGCGCCATAATGCTATAGTGCCAAAGCTAATTTGGTGATGTTGTAGGTTAGCTTCATTTTATTGAAATTCCTATCAAAATAAATTAATTAACCTAATAATTATGTCATTCTCTATATTTTTTTTACATTTTATTTTACCAAGATTCTTTTTCGCTCAACATGGTTTTGACTTGAGCAAGATTGTGAGTCCATGTTAGGTAGCTTCAGCCCTTGTGAGAAAGCTACTCTTTTCCTTCCTATTTCTTTGGGAATATTCTCACATTCGGGGCAAGAGTAAGCCTCACTGATTCCACATTTTATTCTCTTGTTAGGATTTTAGGTTGGTCTCTTTTCATGGATTATGGTCAATAGTGGTCCTCTAGATGACCCACTCATGGGATATTTTGATAGACTAGTCCAGACTCCATGGATCGACCACATTCATTGATAATTAGACCCAGAGATTGATGTCTAAGGAGGACAGATTCATAGAATTTTGATTGAGTCATACCTATAAATCTTTGAGTTTCCTTAAACTGTACCCATTTCTCAAAGGCCACCATATGGATATTCATCCACCTTCATTTTTTATTATATATATAATTTCTACCCTTCTTCTTACCTTCCTTATTCATTTATTGCTTATCATAGCAGTCTGACAGTTGAGGAGATATATATAAAGATCACATGAATAAAATAAAAAAAACACCTGAATCACTTGGATTATGATGCCAGATCTCTTGATTGCTCTACCAATCAAATGGCCATAACATAGACGAGTATCTTTCAATAGATTATATTTATCACCAATACTTATGTTGAGGTTCTATCCACCAGAACATTGTGAATGATAGAATTTATCATCCAAACAAGATCCCAAAATATACTCGAATATTAAGTGACAAGAATTTGAGCAACAAAAGTTCAAAACATTTCATTCATTTCATTTTAGAGCTTTCAAACAACAACAAATTTCACATGGGGTAATATTTAATTTTCATCATATGCATATATTGAACGATTTTATCTTACATCAAGCATATACAATTGATCCTCATTAAAAATTAATATTACCTTTGTTCTACCTGAAATAATTGTCAAATTAGTATTTGATAAGCTTAAAAGCTCAATAAATTAAATTATTTTAAAATAGAATTCAAATATTCAAGAAATTAAATCGTTGTAATATACCAATTACGAATATAAACTAGATCATTGCATTGCTTAGAATCAATATAAAGTATTCATTCCTGAATAATAATTAGCATGATAATTAATGAGATAAGTGAATAAAAATGGACAATATGATTGGCATGAACAGAAAAATATTATTTCCTACGAATTATTATCCTTGAAAACATCGTTGAAGGGCTTGTTTTCTAACAAATTTGTATTATTTTTCGGCACTTGTGTAGACCTATTATTTTAAATTTCATGTAGTATTTTTTTGAGTTGGATTTTTATTGATCTAGAAAAAGCTTACAATAATTCCAAGCGATGTCCTTTGGAGAGTTCTAGAGAAGAAATGTGTTGATATGACTTATATTCAAGTCACTAACTATACGTATACTAGAGTTTTTATCTATTTCAGTTGGATTGCATCAAGTTTCTACTTCAAGCCCATATCTTTTGATTTAGTTATGGATGCACTTAATAGACATTTACAGAAGGATGTACATTGACGTATGTTTTTCACTATAATATCCTTCTTGTGGATAAGAACATAGAAAGAGCTCAGGAAAAACTTGAAATATGGAGGTCTACATTGGAGTCTAATGGCCTTCGTTTGAGTAGAACTAAAACTGAATACATGGAATGTAATCTTAATAGTAGTAACTCTAGTGAAAGAGTTGTAATTATGGGTGATCAAATTATTAGAAGGTGTGAAAGCTTTAGATATCTCAGGTCTATTGTTCAAAGTCATGGTGATATAGATGGGGATGTTATTAGTAGAATTCAGGTTGGTTGGTTAAAGCGGAGGAATGCTTCGATCTTACTGTGTGATAGAAAAGTACTCCTTAGACTGGAAAATTTTATAAGATGGTGGTGAAACTTGCAATGCTCTATGGCGTATAATGTTGGTCTTTAAAAGAGAAACATAAAATTAAGCGTTGTCGAGATGAGAATGCGTAGGTGGATGAGCGGCTTTACACTTAGGGTCTGTTTGAGGCAGCTGCAGCTTATCCAGCTTATGCTGAAAAGCAGCGTATCCTGATAAGTTATCGATCTGCAGCTGATCTGGATAAGACGGTTGGTTGTTTGGTTTGTGCGGTTGGAAAACAGCTGATTCTAGATAAATGACAATTCTGCCCCTATTTTGGAAAAACTATTTAGTTGAATCCTCATAACATTAGCAATGCCGCAAACATTATCATACAATTCATATTAAGGTAAGTAGCATAAAATCTTAGGTTTGCATACACACAATCCAATTTCTCTGTGTAAAAATAATAAGAGAATGAAGTAATCAATAAATAATAAAAGAATGAAGTAAATTACGTGGATCATTGCTAATTTAAATTAATTGCAAAAAAATTTCATACCAAAAAACAAGCAAATAAAAAAATTCAAAAATATGATGTCACCAATTTGCCTGAAATATAAGGGTTGTAGTTGACCATAAGTATAAGGCATTTTTTGAGACTGCTCAAACCATTAGATAGTTGCCCTAAAGAGCATCCAGCATTGTCTCTCTCTTCAAGCTGAAGAAGAAAAAAAACAGATCCGAATAGAGGAGCGGCAGAGGATGCCAATTAGGGGAAGAACTGCGCAGTTCGACGGGAAAAAATAAAACAGATCCGAAGAGGAGTTAAATGCCAAAGAAGAAGAAATGAATGCCAAAGAAGAAGAAATGTCGAAGATTAGGCGTCGTGAGAGAGATTTTCGAAGAAGAGGGAGGAGCGGCAGAGCATGCGAGAAGAATCGAACGAGTTCGCGGATGCGAACGAGAGGGCACAGGAGTAAAACATCGAAATGAAACCCCGCGAGCCGCGTGTTTAAGAAATTATAAACGCAATTTTTGAATAAGCTCGTGAAACGCAAAAAACAAACGAGACGACAGAGTTTTCAAAAAGTCGCCCGCAGTTATAAGCTGCACCAAACGGGCCCTTAGAGACAAAATGTGAAATGATTATATTCGTGATAAGGTTGGTGTAGCTCTTGTGGCGGACAAAATTAGAGAGAATCATCTTAAATGGTTCGGTCACATTAAAGTTCGACCATCTGAAGGTCTGGTAAGAAGAGTAGATGTTTTAAATTCAAGTAATGTTAAGAAAAGCATAGGTAGACCTACAAAGGCTTGTGCAGATTGTATAAAAATATAATCTTAATTTATTAGAATTAAATGAAAATATGACATTCAATAGGACTCAATTGTGACAGGTAGTTTTAGTTACATGGGGAGAGTAAAGAAAGGGAATGGAGAGGAATCGAAGAAATGACCAGTCGAAAGAGGAAATGAAAAATTGAGGAAGAGGAAAGGAGTGGTCGAGAACATAAATGAAGGGAGGAGAATAAATGTGAAGTGTCAACAAGCAGCGAGGTGAAAATCGCCTATAAAAACTCACAAATGACTTACCTGGGAGTCGACGAGGGAAGCATAGAACTTTCGTGATCTCGTGGTTGTGGTGAGTGCGGCTAGAGCGAAGAGGTGTAAAGAGCTCATGCGGGAGAGGATCCTTGTGTTCCGCATTCTTCTTGATATCTATCGTCTGAGCCGAAGGAGAAGAAAATGAGAAAAAAGGCTCATGTGAGGAGCCAACTGCAATGGAAGGAATTACCCTGCGAAGGAAGAAGGCGTTCGGGTGCTAAGCCGAGCCAAAGCTCTCGCCTGCAGATCTTTTTTCGTGGTCTAGGATTCGATCAAGAAGCAGGTTGAACATTTATTCTATTTTAATTATAAAATAAAATAATATATAGATACATAATATATATATTTGTCAGTGCGCGCGCGCCTAAGTCTTGTTTTTTGGTGACAGGGTCACTGTAAGTCCCCTCAGGTCAAAGGTTCAATCCCACCGTGAAGCGAGGGCTCTGAAATTTTAAACACATTGTGCAGGCTCTCATCTTGAGGCCAAAAAACACGAGAAATGGATATTTAAACTTCTGTCAAATATCTATTTCACTTGAAAAAAAAAAAAATCAATAATGTAAAGTAATAACTAACTAAAATAATATTTTAATTAAATTTTAATAT